ACCTTAAGGCAACTCAGATGAAAATTATATATTAAGCAAGTTGTGGACTACCAACCTCCATGAGTGTTCTTTGAATTTCTCTGTCGGCAGATGTACCCTCTGAGAAGCGTCGACCACCTAAATATGCAAGGTACATTATTGTTGATCCTTGCTATTTCAAACTCAGTTATACTGAAGTCCCCACTATCTTGAACTTACACCATTTTCACTAGGATATTTTCTTTCAGTAATTTACTATTGGCTATCTTGATATCCCACTATCTTGCACTGTATTAGAGTCTAAGATGGCAGGGTTTCAACTGGGCTACCAGTACTGGTAATTTGTTACAAACCAAGTCTGTTTATTATGCACCAGATGTTCTGTAGCATGACATGACGGTAGAAGGTTTGCCAATCCTCTTGGAGGGCATAACAGTAATCCATTAGATTCCCCTTGAGTATTCACTTAGCTTGCATGGTAGGCATTCAAAGAGAAAGAGAGGGGAAAACTAGAAGTATGATCGGAGGGGAGGGATGGGAACACCTGCAAGTACGCCACTGTTTTTGACATTCAGCCCTTTAATTAAGTTTGCAAAACCCAGAAAGCTGTGAAATGTCTGGCTGTCAAAACGATCCATGTCCCTCCCCCTCCAATCACGATTCGCACTACTAGTTTTCCCCTCTGCTTCCCCCTTGAACGCCTGCCATGCAGGCTAGTGTTCACGAGTCAGGTTTCAATAACATTTAAAGTAAATACACTTGTGTAGAGAGAGTCACTGACACTAGAATGACCCGGACGTCCACGTCAATTCTCACCCTAAGCATGTGGAGCCTTACGCACTAGCAATTAGACCATTGCACCTATTGTGTTGTCTCTTGAAAAGACAACATTAATGATGTTGATTGAGCAGTATCAAGAAAAATCTGTGTGATGGATGGACTTTTTTCAATGCTACACAAAAACATACTTCACCAGAGTTCTTCCTTCATGACATAAAATAATATTATTTCAAAGAAACCTGTCCATCAGGGCACATACCAATGGCATCAATTTCATCCATGAAGATGATGCAAGGCTCGTGATCTCTGGCATAACCTGTACAACAAGATCAGGTTTAGTAAAGTCCACTAAAAACAGGTCACTAAATTTAGGAAATGGTCACAAAGAAGAGTATTACTGTAATAATTATAGAGAATGAGATCTTCATGTGGTTGTAAAGAAAAACCTTGATCACAGCTTGATGAATCAATTTAGCAAAAAGAAAGAGATGCTCAAAGTTCACAGTTCTTTTTTTCTCATTAAGTCCCTCGCGCACAGTTCAAATCATTTACTTACATTTCCTATATTTACTGTCACAAAGTAGAGAACAATTCAAACAAGAACAACATACCAAACATCTCTCGTATAAGTCTTGCACTTTCGCCAATGTACTTGTCAACAATTGCACTAGACACAACCTAAAGGAAAATGAGATGCTATTAAATGATGAATTGATCAACAAGGCAGAATTCTTAACAGCATGAAGAGTAGTTTCAAAGGAGCACATGGGCTCAGTTAGTGGGAGGCTTGAGTCCTGGCTGGGGACATTTTGTTGTGTTCTTGGATAAGACACTTTACTCTCACAGTGCCTCTCTCCACCCAGGTGTATAAATGGGTACCAGTGAAGTTAATGCTTGGGGTAACCCTGCAATGGGGTCGGATCTCATCCAGGGGGAGTAGAAATATCTCCATTCACTTTATGCTACAGAAATCAGAGGTAAGCGATGCCTTCCTACATGGGCTCAGCTTGACATAGATTGGGGGAGGGGGTGGGGATAGTGAATGACTTTTGGGCTAGGACATCATTGTTAGGGCTTGCCTTAAACGCTAGGGTAAGCCTGAAAATTAGTTTTCTTTGCACCCTTAATAGGATGGTATTTCAGTGTCTTCAAGTACAATTCCATAACCTCTGTCATCTTACCCTCCAGTAAACTAACAAGAAATAATTGTCTAACACTTAAACACCTTTCTTATATTCAGTTTATTATGGTAACCTGAGAAAACATACCTTAAGAAAGTTAGCATCCAACTGGCTAGCAACAGCCCTAGCAAGTAATGTCTTGCCAGTTCCTACAAAAAGAAATATGTTAAGAGTCGACATGTCATATAAAAACTAAAACAATACATTTGTACCATACTATATGGAATTTGTGCAAGGAAAATTCTTGATTATTACAAAACTTCTTGCAGGGTTTTCTGTTTCAAATAAAGCTCTGGCTTTTCAAAAAATGTACTCTGGCACATTTCAGCCTGAAAAGTAATCAACATGCTACCCTGTTTGAAAACGTCAAGTACAGAATTGAAAGTAAATTTACAACTTATATCATATGCCACAACAATTAAAAACATTGATATCAATATAGAAATTGTCAAGACATGTATTTACAAAATTATCCCAGCTTGGACGTCAAGGAATGCATGTAGAGCAGTCAAAACAATTGACAATTTGGCATTCCTTTTTTCAATAAAGCTGTTTGCAATTTAGATACTCCTAACCCTGACAAAGACCAAGTTGCAATACCTGGAGGACCAAACAGAAGGCAGCCTTTTGGTGGACTGATTCCAACTCTCTGAAACAGTTCTGGATTTGTCAAGGGAAGTTCTATTACCTGCAGAAAAACCATATAGATCATTGATTGATTGATCAACTTTCTATATTATTTATTTATTATCAAATTTGTTGGTCTAATAAGTTGTTAGTCTAAGACTCCCCCTCCCCTTTTGACACAACTAATATCAACCTAGGTTGAAATCATTCTGACCTAAAGTATATTTTAAACTACACTGTACAACACATACACAGCAACAGTCTATCATCTTCTTAATGGGACTAGACATCTGTGCAGGGTATCTGAGCAGGGTAAATAAAGAGCTCTGGGAGCCTGGCCAGGTCATGTGCACTAAAGCATCTGCAGTTGAGTGTCAGTCGATACCCTCGATTGAACTGTGATCAGCATCTTGATCGACACTCGATTGACACTCAGTAGACATCTCGATTGACACGTGGTCAACACCCGATCAACAGTCAGTCAAGTGTCGACCAACTCATATGCATTGATCAAAAATTGGCCAACCTTCAACCTGCTGTCGATCGAGTTGTTAGTTGTGTGGCAATCGAGTGTCAACAGAGTTGTCAAAGGTGTGTTGATTGAATGCCAATCAAGAGTTGATCAAAGTATTGATTGAGGTTATTGATCGACACTTGACTGCAGATGCCTTTAGTACACATGATCTGGCTGGCCTATTGATGACAAACCTTGTGAAGCTAGACATACTAAAAATACAAACCTCTCTCAGTTCTCTGATCTGCTCACTGAGTCCTCCGACCTCAGAATAAGAAATATTGCCAGGATCTTCATGAGACATGTTGTATACAAGGGGGTCAACTTCACGAGGGAGATATCTAAAATAGGTAGGCAAGTAAAGACCTATGGTATGAGTCCTCTCTGACAATGAAGTAGCAACGGCAAAAACTTTGTCTGTTAAATAGATAAATAGAAGCAATTTCTAAAGCAGGTACTAGGCATTTTCCATTTGCCCAAAAATTCCTATCTGCATTAAGTACCAAGCATCTCCAGCACTGAATGGGAAAGCATTTCCCAGAATTTTTGGAAATGAGGTCAACCTCATGAGCTATACCCAAATTTTCAAAAATTTCTTATCAGGAACATCTTTTCCATTTGATTTTCTTCCCAGAACTCCTAGAGTGTTTGGTTGAATGGTTTGTATTTCAGAAATTTAACAATTTTTCTTATTCAGACACTTTCCAAGGAAACTCTATTTCCCATACCATTTGCCCTGCTATGAAAAGTTCCAGAACTTTTGTCGAATGGAATGTCGCTACTATTACATATAATAACACAATGAACCTCATAATGGTCAGGGTTGTCATGTCAAGAGCCACACGTGTTCCTTGCTTGAGTTTCTTTTTATCCACCTGTTGCGACAAGATTAAACAGAGTTAACCCATGGACTGTGCTGTTGTAGAACCCTTTCCAAGCTTCACATGTAAGTAATATCATGTATTCAATACCTGTCTTCTACATCCCACAACGTAACGAGGACCATTAGTGGCTTTCACAATGACTGAAAAAAAGAAAATCAGGTGAGTCAAATAAAAGCATCGCATATAGAAAAAAAAAAAACTTTCAAGGAAGACAGCCTCCACTGTTGTCATCAATTATGAGAAATTTCAAACTAAATAAACTAGCATTGTTGATAAAATGTGACAAAAGAATTCATGTTAAGGTAAAACTCTCACTATAGCTCTTGTGCAGTTACATGTTTGTATACGTGTACTTCTGCTATATGTTCACTTTTTCGCATATTTAACTATTTTGGTTCATTCCACATAGTGAGCTCATAGTAAACTCCACAGTTGTCCTTTTATTTCACTAGCAAAGACGATTGCGGCTGTCAAAATGTGTCTTCATTTAATCCTCAAGTGTTTTGACAGTTTTTTTTTTCTAGCAGTTATGACTTTCATTTTGTTTCCCAAAAAATTAGACATAAGTTCTCTACGTTAAAGGAAGTTAAAGTGTATGCCATGCAGAAGTTGAAACATGCTGGAACACAGCTCAAGACTTTCTGGATTCAACCCCTAAAAACTGAATACTGATCTCTGATTGGTTGTCACAGATGCAGTAGTCAGGATATTACAACATGTCTTGTTTTTCTTTGAGCCTGAACCAAACACAAGAGTTTTCTTCAATTCTCAGGACTTGAGAATGGACTAAATGAGAGAGATAATATAAGCAAGTTATTGGGTGCAGGTTATTAAGGGTACATTCCTTTGGAGTGATCTGGAACTGGATCAGCCACCCAAGATCATTCTGGATCATGGTACATCAAAGGAACCAATGAATTCACTTTGGCCACAGATTCGTCAGTTTCTTTGATGCATCATGACCTGAGTGATCTTTGATCACTAATCCTGATCAAGATCATCTCAAAGGAAAGCACCCTAAAATTAATGGCTTCTATGCAGTCACTTACTCTTCTCAAGAATAGCTGGCTGCACAAAGACCATGTTTCAGTTGTGTTTTAATAAGACATTAGTTTACACAATGAACCAACAATAAATTTCAATCTTAATCTTTGAGCCTAATTGAGATAACATATCGAACCCCAAATCATGGGTACTTATTCCCAGGGCGGGGGCGATGTTGTAGCTGCCAAAGTAACTTTTAGGGTGCACTCAATGAAAGAATAATTAAAAAATGCCTGTTTCTGTTTTTACACCCAATTTCCACCGTTCTCTTAAGTCCAGTCCACTAGCCCAGGCTTCCTCCCTGAACAGCAGCTGCTAATCAAGCCTATTCCACTGTAAGTGGTATTTTTTAGGGGCCAAATAAAGCTTAAGCCACACCCAGATTGGTCCCCTTTAGGGGTGCAATTCAAATTATCCGACAAGCATCCCTGACCTTTTCATATGGGAGTCACTCCCCAGTACTTATTGTGCTCCGTTTTCTTTTTACCGTCGTTTTGTCTTGATACATAACAGCCTCGAATAACAGAAATTCAAAGTTTACTCATCCAACTATCAAATACTTACACTTTTCTTCTGTAAGCTGCCGAAGAACTTCACCAACAATCTATAAAGTGACATAAAATTAAGGAGAAAAACTGTTACCATTAAAATTCAATTTTTTGCTTAAGGTGGCTTACTACAGTTTTGTTGGAGCATAAGAGCATAACTTTTAATTATTTTGAAAAATGTTCCACATTGTTTTTACTTAAGGTTACAGTATACCTTCAGATCGGCAATTTTCTTCAAATTTGGATTTTTGGTTCAAAGTAATGATTGAAGAGTAATCTCTAATTTCTGAAAACAAAATTGAAAAAAACTCAATATTGGCGGAGAAATGGAGGTTTTACGTTACGGCCGGTAGTAAAAGTTCCCTCTTGATTGACAGCCCTATAACGTGTACGCAATCAACCGAGACTACTTTCGCGGGAATATATGGATACCACGAATTGGCTGGCTAC